AATAAACATATCAAACTCACGGGGTACAAATAGTCTCTTACTGAATTTCGTGACCACGCCCACTTCATCGGCCCACTCAAATCGAGTGCGATTTTTGGATGTTATATCATCTTGCCGACTCTCTGTATAAAAAGTTAACAATGTACCACCGAAATATTGAACTATAATATCATGGCTTTCCATTTTGTGTATTTTCGTACTACAAAGTAAAGTTTTTCCCTCGTCATTTTCACCTTTTCCCGAGCGGGTCCGTCAAAATTAAGAAGGCGTTCGTGGTCAAAACAAGACCGAGCAAGGAGTCTTGGGCGATTTCTCTCTTACGCAAGCGCAAATTGAAAATGTACCGCCAAAATCAAAGAGAGGAACAAATTTCCTTTGTTTTGATATGTAAATTGTCGAACAAGGAGCAGATTGAACCTCGTCAAATGGCTAGTCAAAACAGCCACACCTTCCTCCTTTTGCTCGTTTCCTGTTTTATAAGCGTGAAAGCAGTGGGAGAAGAATCGGGTAGCTCGGAAAGCGCTTCACCATCGTTTACTTACGAGATAAACAAGTAAGATTTGTAAAGTTATTTTCCGAAAGAGTCGGAATAAATACATTTTTTTCAGGTTAGATTGCTGTTTTTACCCTAAACGTCGTCCAATAAATTTTTGTTGCAGCCTACTAATCTATACAATTTCGAAGGAAAATATTCAGATGCTTCACCGTCCCCGAAGGGGGTTCTGTCCTGGTGTACCGGTTCACAAGGGAATTACCATTGTTCTTTCTTTGTTTAGGAGTTATCGGTTAGCTATTGTGTATTGTTTGGTCTTTTGTATTGGCTCTTGTGAACCGGTACACGAGGACAGAACCCCGAAGGGTCTCCACTCATCGAAGCGTGTACTGTAGCCAATGTAGTGAATTTTCAGTCTCTTGTTGGGTTTGTCAACCTCCGTGACTTCAATATCATACAATTTTGTATCTTTTCTCTGTGAAATGACCTTTTCAACAGGAGTGTATGCCGATTATTCGTTGCAGAACCGCTTTGGTTCTCTTATCTCTCTCTTAGGCTTGTCCGCCATTTTGAAAATTTACTCAGGAGGGCATCTGGGTTAGCGGCCGCGCCAGGCTGGAACCGACAAAAACAAATGTCCATCGCAGTGGGGAAACAGTTTGATATGGGGAACTTCCTTGTAATTGCTCGTGAATTCTGCATACAATTAAAACTACAGAACATTTCATAAAGGACAACCGATCATTTAACATACTTTTCTCCCAAGTATGATCTAATTGTTTTTTATTTAAGATTTTTGTAGCAAAACCATACCGCGAGCTGTGTATGATACAAAAACTTAATTTTATTGTTTGTAATCTAAAACAGAATCTCTCAATTTTCATTGTTAGGTTTAGATTTGTAAAAGCAACTATGTCGAATAAAATAAGAGCCATCGTGTTGAAGAGTACAAGTATCCTTATTGCCCCAATGCCGATTGTTGAAAAGACTATCGCAATAGCTATTTTGTGGAGTGCAAGTATCCTGGTCGCTCTAAGGCCAATTGTCGCAGAGACTATCGCAGGAGCTGTTGTGTAGAATGAAAATTATCCTGGTCGCTCTTAGGCCGATTCTCGCAAAGACTTTCGTGAGAGTGTGGACAAAGTGTTGAAGCCAAATATGTTTACTGTCTTCAACATCGAAACTAAACAATTTATGCAAATGAAGGCGAGAATTCTGAGAAAACGACAGTGATCTCAATTGTAAGATCGATCTGAAGATAAAAGGCCTTTATTTACGTATCAAGAAAAGTGGCTCAACTTTAATTAAAATTGGCTTTGTTATACAAGCGAAAAATGACCCTGTATGGCCACTTTTGAACAATGGCGCATCAGATTCAGAACACACGAGGGATTTGTCGAAGTTTCCGATTAGCATACGAGCGGGAAATTTAAACGCTGGGAAAGACTAGACTTTAGAACTATCACGACTTTAGTTTAGAACTAAGACGGTGTCTAGAGAGAGATTTATACGCACGGTCGATTGAAATCCAACTGCAATACTAAAAAAGGAAGAAATGTTTTGAACTGAATACCTTTGTAAAGATTGTTTTCGAAGAGATATTTAGATGCACAAGTACTGTACTGGAGAGAGTTGGTCTGAATGAGACACATAACGTATTTTGAATTCTCGATGTGTGTATGCTCGATGTGTGTATGCTCGATGTGTGTATGCTCGATGTGTGTATGCTCGATGTGTGTATGCTCGATGTGTGTATGCTCGATGTTTAGTTTATTTTAGTTTAATACTCGCCACAGTTCAACAAATAAAAATAACTAATCTACATTACATAGTACCAAGAAAGAAAAAGTAAAAATGGAGTGGCAGGAGAGAGGTACAGAACTTTCGTCCCAATTAACACCTAGCCCCTAATGTGCATTTCCACATTAGCGGTCAATTTTTTTCTGGGGTAGACCATTGAGAGTTGACTCGACGAGGCAAATTTACACTACCCACTCCCCCGAATCGGCTAAATCAGCGGTTTATTGTCCCTTGGGGTACTCCGGTGACAATTTACCTGTCGTGTGCAAATATGCGCTACCCACTCTCCCAAAATTGCTAAATTGTCATGACGAAATTTTGTTTTCCAATTTGTCGCGAAATTTTTCGCGTCGCTTCGGCCAAAGTCCCTCAGCGCTACAAAGAACAAAAGGACTATTGTTTAAAACTTAATGTGAGAAGTTGAGAATAGTTGGTTTGCACGTTACGTCATCGCCGCCCTGTTGGTGGACGCAAACAATAGATATCTCCGTATGATGCACGATCCTCGCAGTAGATAGCGCTATTTATGCAATAGCGAAAATCAGACCTGAAAAACAAAAACAAAAAAAAAATCAGGCCTGTACGGGACTCGAACCACTGACCTCTGCGACACTAGTGCAGCGCTCTACCAATTGAGCTAACAAGCCAACTGGGAGCAGGCCATCAAATTAATTCGATATAAACCCGTAGATGATAAATCAAACAACAACAAACATATGAAACATATGTGTGAACTGCGGTTATGAGACGTATATGAGAACGATCCTTCGCAGTAAAGCACTATTTGAGCAATAGTGAAAATCAGACCTGAAAAAAATTTCAGGCCTGTACGGGATTCGAACCACTGACCTCTGCGATACTAGTGCAGCGCTCTACCAATTGAGCTAACAAGCCAACTGGGAGCAGGCCATCAAATTAAT